GCCCACACCATATTCCACTGGAGAAGCATTGCTCTACTTAATCTGTTTCGTTATTTTAAAGTTTCCAGACAGCCTTACTGTATTATTTCCATAAACTTATATGCCTGCTCTTCCTGGAATGCACTTCCCTGCCCTGCTGTTCTTCATCTACCTGGAAAACTTGTACTTCAGCCCTTCCAAACTGCCTGGGATCCACTCAGTGCCACTGAACCCACCTAACCTTATCTGTTAGGTACCATAGGCACAGGGCCTAGGGGCACTTCTTTTAAAAATCAGAAGAAAAAAATGAATTTTTAGCTGGAAGAAAATGTCATAAATAATAATATATTCATGTTTTAATCAATGCAGTCATAAGATAGCATTTTTAATATACATTTTAATGGAAATATGTATATTTTAAGAGGAGGCAGGCACACAAAGGCAAAAGTATGGGCCCTTCAAAATCGTAATGTGGCTCTGACTGAACTTTTTATAGTCTGGCAAGTCTGTTTTCCCTACAGACTATGATCTTATTTATTGCAGGCAGACTCGGTCTTTGCATTATTCCTCTTAGTATCCCCAGAGGCCAGGCCAGTGGACTGGATCTTGAACATTTTTAAGTGGCTGTGAGTAAATGAAAAGTATGCACTACGTGTAAGTAATGACTTGAGAACAGGTGTTTTTCATCATTAGCAGCACTCAAAGAAATTCAAGAATACTTTATGAATGGTGAAAATACTGGAGTAGACAATGTGGTCATCAGAAATGAAGTTCTCCCAGCATAGCAAAAAGGGTCTGTTAGTACCTGTGATATCAGAGCCATGGGGGGCACAAATAATCATAGAGGCCTCAGAGCTGTTGTCAGCCTGGCATTCCTGGATACCATTGAAAGCAGCCAAAGTATTACTTTCCTGATGTGAAATCAAACCTTCTGGAATAAAATTAAGAAGATAGTTCAATAATGAGATTATATAGTATAACTGAGGTGGGCTGGGTCACACTTTGTGGATGAAGGTAATCCAGCAATTGTCCTAAATCAGCAATTGTACTAAATAGTGTGGAGTTGGTTTTTTGCTGCTGTTGTTGTTTTTTGTTGATTGGGGAGCGGTTAAGACAGGGTCTTACTCTCACTAGGCTGGAGTGTAGTGGCACAACACAGCCTCAATCTCCCCAAGCTCAGGTGATATCAGCACCTCGGCCTCCCAAAGTGATGGGATTACAGGCATGAGCTACCGCCCCTGGCCTAAACAGAGTTAGTATGGTTTTTATTGCAGAGCTTTGTGGCTGAGAAATGCCGCTTCAGGGCCAGTGTGTTTCAGGAGTGAATGGATTTGGCTCTCCACAACTCAGAGTGTTGAGTAAGACATTTAGTGGCCAGGCACAGTGGCTCATGCCTGTAATCCCAGCACTTCGGGAGGCTGAGGCAGGCAGATCACCTGAGGTCAGGGGTTCGAGACCAGCCTGGCCAACATGGCGAAACCCTGTCTCTGCCAAAAACACAAAAATTAGCCAGGTGTGGTGATGCATGCCTATAGTCCCAGCTACTCAGGAGGCTGAGGCAGGAGAATTGCTTGAATTCAAGAGATGGAGGTTGCAGTGAGCCAAGATCATGTCACTGCACTCCAGCCTGGGTGACAGAGTGAGACTCTGTCTTAAAAATAATAATAATAATAAAAAATTAGATTCAGTCACATTGGCATTAATGACTTTTTTTTTTTTTTTTTTTTTTTTTGAGACAGAGTTTTGCTCTTGTTGCCCAGGCTAGAGTGCAATAGTGTGATCTCGGCTTACTGCAACCTCCGCCTCCCACGTTCAAGCAATTATCCTACCTCAGCCTCCTAAGTAGTTGGGGTTACAGGCATGTGCCACCACAACTGGCTAATTTGGTATTTTTAGTAGAGACAGGGTTTCTCCAAGTCAGGATGGTCTCAAACTCCTGACGTCAGGTGATCCAGCTGCCTCGGCCTCCCAAAGTGCTGGGATTACAGGTGTGAGCCACCACGCCTGGCCAACATTAATGACGTTTTAACAGTCACAATTGCTCTGTGAACTTATATGACAAAACTCAGCTTTTTTTTTTTTTTTTTTTTTTTTTTTTTTTTTTTTTTTTTGCTGGGGAAGTATATTTTATTTACATTTTTAAAATCTTTGCTAGTATCTCTTCCTCCTTTCCACCCCAGAGACTTGGGAAGGGAAAGAAGCGGGAACCTCAAATACCTACTCCCCACGTACAAATACACACCCCATGGCTCACACCAGCAAATGAAAGTGAAAGAGAAACAGGTCCAGCCTCCTCTAGAAGGGAGCCCACCAAGTCTGGGCAAGGGTAGGAGGGCCCTGGGCTAGATCTCTAAAGAAGAAGAAAGAAAGGAGAGGGAGCAAAGTCAGTTGAAGAGGCTGGAAAGTCATCCAGGGCCCCACCCTCCTCTTCCCTCTGTGCCCTACTGCCTCTGCTGGCAGGCGGGGGCAGGGTCCCTCCCCGTCCCCTCAACACCAGACACACAGGCAGGAGCTGCAGCCATTAACAGTCAGGCCTCTGGACACAAAATACTTTGCAACTGGTCTCCTGGCGTGGTCACCACCAGGGAGGCATCTTTGCTGAGGCAAAGTCCAGGATCTCAGCAGTGTGGCCCGGTAGTCAGTAAGCAGGCGGCGGTCGAGGAACATCCCAGGCACAATGCCATCCAGGCTGCAGGTATAAACCACAGCAGTGCCTGCACTCCCCAGCAGCTGCAGGTGCCCGACTGGTGCTGACACTGATGCCTAGGTCTGCGTAGCCAGGTCATGAGATGTGAGTCCCATCCAGGTAGCCCAGCAGCTGCCAGGGCATCACTGCAGAAGCCAAAGGACTCCACCGAGTTAGGGACTCCTCTCCTCCTTCTCCCAGGCTGGGCTGGGTGGCCACAGTCTCCAGGTCTAAAAACACCCCACCACCTTGCCAGTGGTGGCGCAATCCAGCTTGGCCTGGCAGTCCACAGAGCCCAGTTAGGATCAAGCTACCATCTGGTTGGTGGCAACACAGGTGAGTGGGCCCTGGTGACCCTCAGTCCCTTTCAGTACATGGATGGGGCTTCCCTGCTTCAGGTCCCAAATCCTGATGGTGCCATCTTCGTAGCCTACCACAGCTCTCTTCCCATCAGGGAGGACTCGGCCACAGGTGGCTGGGCAGTTGGGACCCTGGAAGGTCTTGCAGTCACCATTCGGGACCTTCCACATCCAGGTGTTGCCGTCAGCTGTGCCCGCCAACAGGACAGGTGCCCGAGGATGCCACTCCATCCACTCCAGGTCTCCCGCTTCAAAGGACCAGACCTCCTCCTTGGTGTCCACCTGCCACACTTTCAGAGCCACTCATGTCCCCTGTGGCCACTAGGTGGAGTCATGGCTGAAACCAGCACAAGTCACAGAGTCTTTATGGCCTGCACACTCAAAGAGCAGCTCCCCATCGCTGAGCCGCCATACAAAGGCTTTGTCATCTTCACCCCCGGTCACTGCCAAGGTGTTGGTCTTAGGGTCCAGGCTCACACAAAACACAGATGCTGGAGTGCAATGCAAGGTGACCTCACTATCGCCGGGCCCTCCATGCTGCCGACCACCCCTTCCTGGGGTTCTAGAACCCAGCCCTCTTAGTGCCCTCTTCTCCTCTTCTTCCTCAAGTCACATCTTCCATCTCACAGGCGAGGTGTCTGGGTCCGACGGACCGGGATCAAGTTCTACCACCTCGATAATCTCTTCATCACCATGGAAGCTTAGGGTCTCCAGTGGGGGGGTGTCAGCAGCAGCCCGCTTTCCGGTCGGACTCCATGCGGCGCAGCTCGATCCACTTCTCTGGGCCCAAACGCCCAAAACTCAGCTTTTAAAAACTACTGAGTATATATGGCACTCTCATATTTCTGAGCATCAGCCCTTCCTTCCTTGACCCCCATGAGGCTAAGGGATGGTTGGAAATTCAGAGATGAGGTGAGACTCACAAACTGAGGGGCATGTCTTAGGACAGCACACCTGAGTTGGCAGGAACAGCCATGATCTGAGATTAATAGGTGTGCCGTGTTGCCTTCCCCGTGTGAGGGAACTCTCAATAACATTCTGTATTGAGGGCTGTTTTCTCCATCTCAACTTATTTGGGGCCTTTGGTTTAGTCATGATTTGGTCATGTAGTTGGTTTGATTCTGTGTATGTGTGTGTGTATGTGTAATATATTATTGCTATATATCTGTACATACATAATATGTATTATGTACAAGCAATTCTCCTGCCTCAGCCTCCTGAGTAGCTGGCATTACAGGCGCCTGCCACCACGCCCAGCTAATTTTTTGTATTTCTAGTAGAGATAGGGTTTCACTGTGTTAACCAGGATGGTCTCAGTCTCCTGACCTCGTAGATCCACCGCCTCGGCCTCCCAAAGTGATGGGATTACAGGTGCTTGAGCCACCGCGCCCGGCCGGCCTCCAGTAATTTTCCCAAACTGAGTTTTAGGCCAGGTGTGGTGGCTCACGCCTGTAATCCCCTGTAATCCCAGTACTTTGTACATCATACATACACAGATATACACATATAAGCGCACTCAGTTTGTTACCAAATCCAGGCCTGATGCTACTTGCCTGTGTGGCAGGAACTGCAGATACTTGAATCTTGGCAAAGTCAGTTTGGGGGTTCCAAAGTACAGGGGGCAGCAGTCGAGGGGCAGAATAGCCTGGGTTGGGGGTCGCCGCATTTTAAATGCATTCTCTTATTCAGTCCTCACAGAAATCTTGTGAGCCAGGCAGGCAGTATGATTCCCACTTTACAATTTTAGGAAACGAAAACAGAGAGACAAAGTTCGACGAAGACCCAGAGTGGAGCAGCGATTCAGACCCGGCACAACCGACTCCGTTGCCTTCCCCTATGTCTCCCCATCGCCACCGCCTGCCTGAATGCCCTGCTCGGCAGCGCCCGATTGAGACTGGTTGTTAGAAATCCACGCCAGAATCTTTACGTGTGTCCAGAAAGGGAAGGAATCAACATTACACGTCAGCCTTCCCAAGATGGCAGCTGCTGAAGACGAGTTTCTGCCGCCGCCGCGGCTCCCCGAGCTGTTCAATTCCAGCAAACAGCTTCTGGAAGAAGTCGAAGGAGCGACTGAACCCACCGGTTCCCGGATAGTCCAGGAAAAGGTGTTAAAGGGCCTCGACCTCCTTCAGAAGGTTGCCAAAAAGTTATCGCAGCTCGACTTGTTTAGCCGAAATGAAGATTTGGAGGAGATTACTTCCACCGACCTGAAGTACCTGATGGTGCCAGCGTTTCAAGGAGCCCTCACCATGAAACAAGTCAACCCCAGTAAGCGTCTAGATCATTTGCAGCAGGCTCGCGAACACTTTATAAAATACTTAACTCAGTGCCATTACTATCATGTGGCCGAGTTTGAGCTACCCCAAACCAAAACCAACTCAGCTGAAAATAACACTGCTATTACTTCCACGGCTTATCCTAGCCTCGTTGCTATGGCATCTCAAAGACAGGCTAAAATAGAGAGATACAAGCAGAAGAAGGAGTTGGAGCATAGGTTGTCTACAATGAAATCTGCTGTGGAAAGTGGTCAAGCAGATGATGAGCGTGTTCGTGAATATTATCTTCTTCACCTTCAGAGGTGGATTGATACCAGCTTAGAAGAGATTGAGAGCATTGATCAGGAAATAAAGATCCTGGGAGAGAAAGACTTTTCAAGAGAGGCATCCACTTCGAACTCATCTGGCCATGAGAGGCCTCCAATAAAACCCTTCATTCTCACTCGGAACATGGCGCAAGCCAAAGTATTTGGCGCTGGTTATCCAAGTCTGGCTTCTATGACAGTGAGTGACTGGTATGATCAACATCAGAAACATGCAGTGTTACCAGATCAGGGAATAGCTAAGGCAACACCAGAAGAATTCAGAAAAGCCACTCAGCAACAGAAAGATCAAGAAAAGGAGGAAGAGGATGATGAACAAACACTCCAAAGAGCTCGAGAGTGGGATGACTGGAAGGACACCCACCCTAGGGGTTACGGCAACCGACAGAACATGGGCTAATCTTCCCACAACACGGCAGGACTGCAGGGTGCACACCTTCCCCGCCAAGCAAAACCATGCAGCCTTCCCCTCCCTGGGCTCCTGTACAGCTGTGTACAACGAAGTCAAAGATGCTTAATGTTGCTTTGAGTTCAATAAAGTGTTAAATTATTATTATTGTTATTATTTTTTGAGATGGAGTTTTTTACTTGTCGCCTAGGTTGGAGTGCAATGGTGCGATCTTGGCTCACTGCAACCTCCACCTCCTGGTTCAAGCGATTCTCCTGCCTCAGCCTCCTGAGTAGCTGGGATTACAGGCGCCTGCCACCACACCCAGCTAATTTTTTGTATTTTGAGATGGGGTTTCACCATGTTGGTCAGGCTGGTCTTGAACTCCTGACCTCAGGTGATCCACCCACCTTGGTCTCCCAAAGTGCTGGGATTACAGACGTGAGCCACCGTGCCTAGCCTAAAGTGTTAAATTATTAAGCATATATTTGTACTGCAGATGATGTGAGCCATCAATCTAGTTTTGGTATCATCATCCTCATCGTGGTGTGTTCCAATTTCTTAAGTGGAATGAAAAGAACACTGAGGGCCAGGCGCAGTGGCTTATGTCTGTAATCCCAGCACTTTGGGAGGCCGAGGTTGGCGGGTCACCTGAGGTCAGGAGTTCGACCCCAGCCTGGCCAACGTGGTGAAACCCCATCTCTACTAAAACTACAACAATTAGCTGGGCGTGGTGGCAGGCACCTGTAATCCCAGCTACTCGGGAGGCTGAGGCAGGAGAATTGCTTGAACCTGAGAGGCGGAGGTTGCAGTGAGCCGAGATCACGCCATTGCACTCCAGCCTGGGCAACAAGAGCGAAACTCCAAGGAAAAAAGAAAGAGAGAGAGGGAGAGAGGGATAAAAGGGAGGGAGGGAGGGAGAAAGGGAGGGAAGGAGAGAGGGAAAGAAAGAGAAAAGGAAGGGAGGGAGGGAGGGAAAAAAAAAACACTGAGAAATAGGTCTGGATAATTAATGGCTGTATGAATTCTCTGAAAAAGTAACAAAGGTTCCTTCTATTATATGAGCCTGTGCAGAAAAAAGGAAAAAAAAATTTCTTATCACACAATGCGATTTCTTTTGAATCTTTGGGAGCGGTAGCTGAGAGTGAACCGATCTGGAAGGGAATTCAGACAAAGCGTAAAGAAGCAGATGGTGACGTCACTATTAGAGGCGGGCATATGTAGATAGGGGCGCAGTGATTGCCGGTTCTAGTGCGTTCTTCGCGCGGAAGAATTTTTCTAGCGAATATCAAAGAAGGTGTAGTCTGAGTTGTGTCATACGAAGAAGCGGTGGTTTCGAAGCGATGCCTAAAAACAACTCACAATACAATTTGCCATGACTAGGTAGTGTGTTGAGGACGGTGGTGAGGTAGCTAGTAGTAACTAACCACTCATACTTTCCTGGCAGGAGGAATACCATGATCATGAAGGTGGTTTTTCTTAAGGCGAGGCTCGTCCATTGTACTTTAGGTGTACGTATTGATGCCTGCGATTTCCCTAAATGTCAGAAACTCGACTGCGTAATTTGTGGTAGTGGGGGACTGCATTTGCGCTTTTTTCTGATTGCACAATGTGTTTGGAAAAATAGCATGTGTGCCGTTGTTCTCATAGTGTCGCGGGTTTGGAATTGTGGTTGTGAGCTTAGGTTTTATTCCGCTATGTCTTTTTTCTGTTTCAAGTTTAATTAGGCGCTTTTTTATGCACTTTCTATGAAAGGTGGAAAAATTAAGTCAGATTCTCGGGTGGTGGTGTGCACTGGTGCTAGCTCCTCAGGAGACTGCGGTGGGAAGATCATTTGATCCCAGAGGGAGACGTTAATGAGCCAATATCGTGCCACTGCACTCCTGTCTGAGCGACAGAGACCCAATCTCAATGAAGAAAGAAAGAAAAAAAATTCCTGGGTCTAAGAAAGAAAAAAAATTCCTGGGTCTTCAGGTGGGAAGTTAAGTACCTCATCCCTTGTAGTTCAGTTTTTCTGTGCAGATAAATTTACCAGTTTCCTGTGCAGATAAATTTACCTTAGCCTTTTCTTCTGGTGGGATGAATTGCTGAGGGTGGCTCAAGCCTGCAATCCCAGCACTTTGGGAGGCTGAGGCGGGTGGCTCACTTGAAGTCAGGAATTCCAGACCAGCCTGGCCAACATGATGAAACCCTGTCTCTACTGAAAATACAAAAAAATTAGCCAGGCATGGTGGTGCACATCTGTAATCCCAGCTACTCAGGAGGCTGAAGCAGGAGAATCACTTGAACCCAGCAGGCAGAGGTTGCAGTGAGCCAAGATCACACTACTGCACTCCAGCCCAGGTGACAGAGTGAGTCTCGGTCTCTAAAAAAAAAAAAAAAAAAAAAAAAAACCCGCCGGTGCACAGCTGGTACACACCAGGAGGTACAGGTGGTGCATGCCTGTAATCCCAGCTACTTGGGAGGCTGAGGCATGAGAATAGTGTAACCACCCAAGGGGTTCACCTTGCCTGCTGCCTAGACAGAGCCAATTCATCAAGACAGGGGAATTGCAATAGAGAAAGAGTAATTCACACAGAGCCAGCTGTGAGGGAGACCGGAGTTTTATTACTCAAATCAGCATTCGAGGAACACAGTTTTTAAGGATAACTTGGTGGGTGAAGGGAAGCCAGTGAGCCAGGAGTGCTAATTGGTTGGGGAAGAAATCATAGGGAGTCAAAGCTGTCTTCTTGTGCTGAGTCAGTTCCTGGGTGGGGACCACAAGATCAGATGAGCCAGTTTATTGATCTGGGTGGTGCCAGCTGAAGTGCAAGGTCTGCAAAATATATCAAGCATTGACTTTAGGAGCAGTTTAGGAAGGGTCAGAATCTTGTAGCATCCAGCTGCATGACTCCTAAACCATAATTTATAATCTTGTGGCTAATGTTAGTCCTACAAAGGCAATCTAGTCCCCAGACAAGAAGGAGGTCTGCTTTGGGAAAAGGCTGTTACTGTCTTTGTTTAAACTATAAACTGTAAACCAAGTTTCTCCCAAAGTTAGTTCAGTCTACACCCAGGAATGAACAAGGACAGCTTGGAAGTTAGAAGCAAGATGGAGTCAGTTAAGTTAGATCTCTTTCACTATCTCAGTCATAATTTTGCAAAGGCTGTTTCAATTGCTTGAACCCGGGAGATGGAGGCTGCTGTGAGCCGAGATCGCACAACTGCACTCTAACTTGGGTGACAGAGCAAGACTCTGTCTCAAAAAAAAAAAAGGCATTTCCTGTATTGCTCAGATGAAATTATACACACGACAAAGACACAAACACCAGTTACTCCCCCCAGTATCTGAGTTTTAACGTGGCAAAACAGACAAGAGGTTCCCTCTGAGTGAGGTCTGCTGAGCTTCTGCTAGTGATTCCTTCAGGATTCCACCCCCGACACACAGACAAGAACAAGCACAAGCCTTCACAAATCAGAATTCTAAAACCAGATTTGGGCCCAGCGTGGTGGCTCATGACTAATTCTAGCACTTTGGGAGGCTGAGGTAGGAGATCACTTGAGCCCAGGAGTTCAAGATCAGCCTGGGCAACATAGTGAGACCTCATCTCTATTTTTAAAAAATAATAATAAAAAAATAAAAATAAAACCAGACTTGGCCAGCATGGTGGCTCACACCTATAATCCCAGAACTTTGGGAGCCTGAGGCAGGAGGATTGTTTGAGGCCAGGAGTTGAAGACCAGCTTGGGCAACATAGCAAGATCCCACATCTAAAAAATTTAAATAAAACCCGATTTCTTTTCCTTTTTTTTTTTTTTTTTTTTTTTTTGAGATGGATTTTTGCTCACTTGCCCAGGCTGGAGTGCAATGGCATGATCTCAGCTCACTGCAACCTCCACCTCCCAGGTTCAAGTGATTCTTGTGCCTCAGCCTCTTGAGTAGCTGGGACTACAGGTGCTTGCCACCACGCCTGGCCAATTTTTTTTTTGAAACGGAGTCTTGCTGTCACCCAGGCTGGATTGCAATGGCATGATCTCGGCTCACTGCAACCTCCGCCTCCCAGGTTCACGCGATTCTCCTGCCTCAGCCTCCTGAGTAGCTGGGATTACAGGTGCCCGCCACCACACCCAGCTAATTTTTGTAGTTTTAGTAGAGATGGGGTTTCACCATGTTGGGCAGGCTGGTCTAGAATTCCTGACCTTGTGATCCACCAGCCTCACCCTCCCAAAGTGTTGGGATTACAGGCGTGAGCCATGCACCTAGACTTTTGTTTTTTGTTTTGTTTTGTTGAGACAGAGTCTCACTCTGTTGCCCAGGCTGGAGTGCAGTGGCATGATCTCGGCTCACTGCAACCTCCACCTCCCAGGTTAAAACGATTGTCCTGTCTCAGCCTCCTGAGTAGCTGGGACTACAGGCGCCCGCCACGACACCCAGCTAATTTTTGTATTTTTAGTAGAGATGGGGGTTTCACCATATCAGTCAAGCTGGTCTTGAACTCCTGACCTCAGGTGATTCACCCGCCTTGACCTCCCAAAGTGTTAGGATTACAGGCGTGGGCCACTGTGCCTGACTGCCCGGCCAATTTTTGTATTTTTTGTAGAGACAGCATTTTGCTGTGTTGTCCAGGCTAGTCTCAAACTCGTGACCTCAGGTGATCCAGCCTCAGCCTCTCAAAGTGCTAGGATTACAGGTGTGAGCCATTACGCCCAACCAAAACCAGGTTTCTGAACTGAGACTTGAAGGGTCCAGGAGTACTTCCCCAAAACAGTGCCCTTTATTCTTCCAGTGGGGAAAAATGCCTTTAATAGGTCCCTTTCTATAGGTTAGGGAGGGTTAATAGGACCCTCGAAGAGTTTACATGGCCTCTGAGGAGGCCAACAGATCAGGAGAAGGGAAAGGGAGGATGGATTATGCTTGGGAATAATCATCAGAGACTTCTTCTAGAATCAGAAACCATTTCTCTGCTGCAAGCCAGTTTACGCGCCTAAAGTCAGCAATGTCCCTGCCTACAAGGGAGGTGCCAGACATGGCCCCTGGCTTAAAGGAGGGCTCGTCTCAGGGTGCTGAAATGTCAGGGTGTCCCAGAACAGAATGAGGTCCAGCTGCTTGTTCTCACAGTCCAATAATGAGATCCAAACTGGGAAAGAAGGGAGTTTATTGGCCAGGCGCGGTGGCTCACTTCTGTAATCCCAGCACTTTGGGAGGCCGAGGCAGGCAGACCACCTGAGGTCAGGAGTTTGAGACCAGCCTGGCCAACATTGTGAAACCCTGTCTCTACTACAAATACAAAAATTAGTCAGCCAGATGCGGTGGCTTACGCCTGTAATCCCAGCACTTTGGGAGGCTGAGTTGGGTGCATCATGAGGTCAAGAGATCGAGACCATCCTGGCCAACATGGTGAGAACCCATCTTTACTAAAAATGCAAAAATTAGCTGGGCGTTGTGGTGCCTGCATGTAGGCCTAGCTACTCGGGAGGCTGAGGCAGGAGAATAGCTTGAACCCAGGAAGCGGAGGTTGCAGTGAGCTGAGATTGCGCCCCTGCACTCTAGCCTGGCGACAGAGCGAGACTCTGTCTCAAAAAAAAAAAAAAAAAAGAAAAAATTAGCTGGACGTGGTGGCGGGTGCCTGTAATCCCAGCTACCCAAGAAGCTGAGGCAGGAGAATGACTGGAACCCAGGAGGCAGAGGCTGCAGTGAGCCAAGATCACACCACTGTACTTCAGCCTGGGCGACAGAGCAAGACTGTCTCAAAAAAAAAGACTAAAAGAAGGGAGTTTATTTCTGCAACTGGTTACAGGGAGAAGGTCAGAGTAACTCACCAGACCAACTAAAAAAGTTAAAAGTTTTGGCCCAGCGCAGTGGTTCATGCCTGTAATCCCAACACTTTGGGAGGCCTAGGTGGGCAGATCACCTGAGGTCAGAAGTTCGAGACCACCCTGGCCGACATGATGAAACTCCGACTCTATTAAAACTACAAAAATTAGCTGGTAATGATGGTGGGCACCTGTAATCCCAACTACTCGGGAGCCTGAGGCAGGAGAATCGTTTGAAGTCGGGAGGCGGAGATTGCAGTGAGCTGAGATCATGCCACTATACTGCAGCCTGGGCAACAAAGTGAGACTGTCTCAAAAAAAAAAAAAAAAGTTACAAGTTTTTTTTTTTTTCCCCCAAAGTTTATATACATTCAAGGTCCATGCCGATATGCGGGAGTGCACCTACAAGGTGGGATGTTTCATTCAATCTATATCGAATCTTTTTTTTTTTTTTTTTTTTTTGAGATGGAGTCTCGCTCTGTCTCCCAGGCTGGAGTGCAGTGGCGCGATCACGGCTCACTGCAAGCTCCGCCTCCCGGGTTCACGCCATTCTCCTGCCTCAATCTCCTAAGTAGCTGGGACTACAGGTGCCTGCCACCATGCCTGGCTAATTATTTTTTATATATATTTTTAGTAGAGATGGAGTTTCACCGTGTTAGCAAGGATAGTCTCGATCTCCTGACCTCGTGATCCGCCCACCTTGGCCTCCCAAAGTGCTGGAATTACAGGCGTGAGCCACCACACCAGGCCTATATCTAATCTTTAACTAGGATCTAGGGTCTGAAAAGCTTTCTCTAGAGTCTTGGAA